TGCCACTGCACTCCAGCCTGGCGCCTGGAGACAGAGTAAGACTCCGTCTTAAAAAAAAAAAAAAGAAACCCATTCCAGTGATAACAAACCCAAACCCAGTCCTGTGATAATGGCATTAATCATTCATGGGAACAGAGCCCTTATGGCCTTATCACCTCTCACTAGGCCTCACTACCCAACATGTTGTATTGGGGATTAAGTTTTCAACTCATGAACTTTAGGGGGCACATTCAAATCATAGCACTTAACCACCTCCACTCTTCGTACCATTCCATCCCTACCTGACCTGAGTACAAGATCATAAATGATACTAAGGAGAAAGATACGGGAAAAAAAAATTAAAGAAATTAACATGATTGTCATGAGGATTTTGATGAACTAAAAAAATATGAAAAAGATGAAAGAAGACACTACGGCTCAATAAATCAGAAAGGCAAGGGCCTATAAGAATACTGTTAGAGGCCAGGCATGGTGGCTTACGCCTATAATCTCAGCATTTTGGGAGGCGGGTGGAATCACCTGAGCTCAGGAGTTTGAGAACAGTCTGGACAACATGGTGAAACCCCATCTCTACTAATATACAAAAATTAGCCGGGTGTGGTGGTGCACACCTGTAATCCCAGCTACTCAAGAGGCTGAGGCAGAAGAATTGCTTGAACCCAGGAGGCGGAGGTTGAAGTGAGCCTCCTCCACTCCAGCCTGGGCAACAGAGGGAGACCCTGTCGCAAAAAAAAAAAAAAAAAAAAAAAGAATAGTGTTAGTAAGGCTAAACTATTGTTTAGAATTATCATAAGGCTTACTTAAAATGTGATAAGGATGCTTTAAAGAAATGGATTATAGGCCAGGCACGGTGGCTCATGCCTATATCCCAGCACTTTGGGAGGCTGAGGCAGGTGGATCACGAGGTCAAGAGATTGAGACCATCCTGGTCAACAAGGTGAAACCCCGTCTCTACTAAAAATACAAAAATTAGCTGGGCATGGTGGTGCGCACCTGTAGTCCCAGCTACTCGGGAGGCTGAGACAGGAGAATTGCTTGAACCCAGGAGGCGGAGGTTGCGGTGAGCTGAGATCGTGCCATTGCACTCCAGTCTGGGTAACAACAGCGAAACTCCATCTCAAAAAAAAAAAAGAAAAGAAATGGATTATATTTGTAAACACAAGAATCCAACTTTGGCCAAGCACAATAGCTCACACCTGTAATCCAAGCACTTTGGGAGGCCACGGCAGCTGGATCACTTGAGCTCAGGAGTTCAAAACCAGCCTGGGCAACATGGTGAAATCCCATCTCTACAAAAAGTCCAAAAAGTAGTTGGACATGGTAGCTTGTGCCTGTAGTCCCAGCTACCTAGGCAGGTGGATTTACTTGAGCCTGGGAAGCAGGAGAGTTACTTGAGCCTGGGAAGCAGAGGTTGCAGTGAGCCGAGATCACGCCACTGCACTCCAGCCTGGGCAACAGAGGGAGACTCTGTCTCAAAAATAATAATAATAATCCAAACTTTATGGGCTAATGGGGTGTGTGTGTGTGTATGTGTGCATGTTTCAGTAATAGTTTGTGTAGAGGAAAGTATGCTAGAATTGGGGTCCTTCCATCTTTTCCCTGGACTTTCCAAGGAGCTACTGTTGACTCAGGCCCTGCTCCAGGGAGGCCTTTTTAAAATTTATTTATTATTATTATTTTTTTAAAGACAGGATTTCACCATGTTGGTCGGGCTGGTCTTGAACTCCCGACCTCAGTTGATCTGCCCGCCTTGGCCTCCAAAGTGCTTGGATTACAGGCGTGAGCCACCATGCCCGGCCCGGGAGGCCTTTACACTCTAATCTCCATGCAAGGGCTACTGTCCTCACCATGCAGTGGGCTGCAGGCCTTAGATGACTCATACTTGCTTTTGGAGAATATTTGTCCAAAGGCCTTAAAACTGTAAAATCTGTGTGCTCAACCTAACTAAATGCCATTATGTCTCCCTGTCTTATCTAAAAATAAAACTTCCCCCAGTCCTCCCTCTACGGGATTATTAGAAGAAGGAGAATAAAGGATGAATTATATATCTGTTTAGACTCTAAGCAAGTTATCTGCAGGATTGCCTTTGGTTTAGATAACTATAAAAACGGCCGGCCGTGGTGGCTCAAGCCTGTAATCCCATGGTGAAACCCCATCTCTACTAAAAATACAAAAAATTAGCTGGGCATAGTGGCGCATGCCTGTAATCCCAGCTACTCAGGAGGCTGAGGCAGGAGAATTGCCTGAACCCAGGAGGCGGAGGTTGCAGTGAGCCGAGATCGCGCCATTGCACTCCAGCCTGGGTAAGGAGCCAAACTGCGTCTCAAAAAAAAAAAAAAAAACCTCCCGCAGTAAGGAGTTTAATCTGTTTTGTGGAATTTGAGACCAAAAAGTCAGAAACACTTCCATACATCAGCCTACCCATGGGTTTCTGTAATGTTTTAATAAAAGAGAGCACTCGATACATATAACCAGTTAACAATTTTGATAGGACAATGCCAGTGGCCCAAAATGATCATATGTTAAGATGCTTGTGAAGATGATTGACATTATCATTCTCAAAATATACTAAAAACCCAGTTTTATAAGATTTAATAGTCTTTGGAATTATTAGTTTAATGTCTGTTTTATCCCCAAGTTCCCTGCAGGCTTTGTCCGTTCAATAACATGAATGGTGTCCTCAAAACAATCATGCGCAATACCCTGCTCCTCCCACTTTACACCTGTAATCCTTCCTCAGGCTATAATCTTTATGAGGTCAAGGAGGCTTTGACTCTTTTCGCTATTGCATTTCCAGTATTTTGCAGAATCCTTGTGACAAAGTAAATGCTCGATAAACAGGTGGATAAATAAAACAAATAAATTAATGTCTTATGAATTTTCTTACCTTTCTCAGGACCCTGAGAACATTATTTAAGCCTTTTGCTCCCAAATCTGGCTGTACTTCAGGATCACCTTGGGAGCTTTTTAAGAATAGAAATTAGAGCCAGGCATGATGGCTCACACCTATAGTCCTCTCTACTTGGGATGCTGAGGCAGGAGGATAGCTCGAGCGAAAGAGTTTGAGGCTGTAGTCCACTACAGTTGCACCTGTAAATATCCACTGCACTTCAGCCCAAACAACATAATGAGACCTGATCTCTAAAAATAGGTCAAAAATTAAAACAAAACCCAACCCAGGTTTGGTCCTCACCTCCAAGCACGGCAAATAGTTTACAAAGCTCTTGCAAGTAGTGTGATGTGCTGCTAAATTTGAGGGGCATCAATTTAACCTATCTGGCCTCAGTTTCCTCATCTGGAAAACAGTTGGCCTACCCCCTCACAGGATGTCATTAAAATCAAATGCAATAAAATGCAAAGTACTCTGGCAAAGAAGAGACTTTGTATGATTGTGCAAGGTAGGACAAGAATGGACAACGACCAAATGCATAGCCTGCCAAAGAGAACAAATGCACAGTTTCACAACCCAAGTGCTTCTCTGTGGCACATCCATAACTCATCAAATTCTAAGATTTGAATAGGATCTGAATGTTTTCTAAACAAATCAACTCCTCACCTCTTTGCCTATGAGTCTCCCATATGTGTCTTCTGTTTAACTTGGAAAACAGCACCTATTTTTTAAAAAAAAAAAGTATGGGGAAGTTATTGGGAAGACTGAATTGTTTTGGAAAAGATCATTCATTCCTCATGCTACTCAACAGTCATAACTGGTAATTTCAACCTCATGCTTAATCTCCACACTTGCATCAACATAAGTGTTCGAGACACAATCCACACTCTGACTGGATTCCGTGGATCTCCTTTATTGTTTCTGTGTGCTTATATCCCACTCTCCCTTCTGCACACTCAGCATCTAACCTAACTCACCAGTCCTCTTCTCCAGAGATGTACCTGCAGGTTACAGGACACCATTAGACAGGATGCACTGAGGGCCAGAAGTGGGGTGGGGTAGAGTTGATGTCCCACCCCTCACCCCAGGGCAGCAGGTAGTCAACCCCAGAATTATAGAGGAGTATGAAAACCCAGATTATTTGCCTTGATGCAGAGTAATCAGTACAGTGTCAATTACACTCCAGAGCTCCATGGAATTAGGCTGAGAATGAAACTTCACCTGCAATTGGACCCTTGCATTGCTTCTTCCTCCTCCTATTCAACTTCCCCCACTCCCTTACTGGTTTCTCACTTAAGAACTTCCTTAATAATTATGTGTCCAAAAATCTTCATCTCAAGGTCTTCCTCATAACTTCTTTATCCTCCTCAACTCCAGATATTATATTTTTTAAAATTCCTTTATATTTGTCTGATTACAGAGAGTGTGTATCTATGTGTCCATAATAGTTAAGACAGTTAATTTCTTCTTTTGTTATCTCACATCCTTGGCTTATCTTATTATATCGGATTAGGTATTTTATGTATAATTTACATACAGGAAAATAAACATTTTAATTATATAGCTCAACAAATTTTTTGCATATATACACACCCAAGTAACCAACACCCAGATCAAGGCATTGAACATTTCTAGCACACAAAGGCTCCCCAGGCCTCTTTCCAGTTAGCAGTAACCACCCCCAAGTAATCACTATTCTAATTTCTATAGGTATAGATAAATTTAGCCTATTTTATAGGCTTATAAATGAAAACATCGTGTACATACTCTTTTGTGTCAAGGTTTTCTCATTCAACGTTATGTTTGGGAAATTTATCCAGGTCGCATGTATAGTTCATAATTTTTCATTTCTTTGTGGTTTTTCATTATATGAGTATACCACAATTTATTTACCTATTCTACTGTGATGGAAATTTGGGTTTTTGACAATATGGAGCTTTTATAAAGAAGGCAGCTATGGACATTCATTCTTTACATGCCTTTAGGCAGATGTAGACAGTCATTTCTGGATGTATACCTAGAACTGATGTTGCTGGGTCATAGGTTATAGATAGTTTGGCTTTGATTGGCAGTGATAGCAAACATAGTAACTCATATATGTTCATTGCAGCATTACTCACAATAGCAAAGACTTGGAACCAACCCTAATGCCCATCGATGATAGAATGGATAAAGAAAATGTGAAGATATACACCATGGAATATTATGCAACCACAAAAAATGAGTTCATGTCCTTTGCAGGGACATGGATTAAGCTGGAAACCATCATTCTCAGCAAACTAATACAGGAACAGAAAACCAAACACCACATGTTCTGACTCATAAGTGGGAGTTGAACAATGAGAACACATGGACACAGGAAGGGGAACATCACACACCAAGGCCTGTTGGGGAGTAAGGGGTTAGAGGAGGGATAGCATTAGGAGAAATACGTAATGTAGATGACAGGTTGATGGGTGCAGCAAACCACCATGGCACATGTATACCTACATAACAAACCTGCACGTTCTTCACATGTATCCCAGAACATAAAGTATAATGAAAAAAAAATTGACTAGAATTACAGTCATTTAACCACCCCTAAATTAAGATAAAGAACACTGCCATCACTCTGGCTCGGTGCAGTGACTCAAACCCAGAACTTTGGGAGGCTGAGGCAGGGGGACCACTTAAAGTCAGGAGTTCGAGACCAGCCTGGCCAACGTGGTGAAACCTCGTCTCTGCTAAAAGTAAAAAAAAATAAAAAATTGGCCAAGCACAGTAGCATGTGCCTATAATCTCAGCAACTTGGGAGGCTGAGGCAGGAGAATCACTTGAACCTGGGAGGCAGAGGTTGCAGTGAGCTGAGACCTTGCCCCTGCACTCCAGCCTCGGCAACACAGCGAGACTCTTTCTCAAAAAAAAAAAACTTGTATATTCTTTCAGATAAACTCTAGAATTTTTCTAGAAAGTCTCATAAAAATGACCATTGCCTTCTCTGAAAATACAGATATGTAATAAATCACAAGTCTTAGCTCTTGAATTGGACAGGTCAGCCTAAGAATTCCAGTCACTTACTTGCTGGATTACATTAGGCAAGCCATTATCCTCTCTGATAATCAGTTTTCTCTCCTGTAACATGATTATAATAATGGTGCCTGTCTCATGGGGTTGCTATAAGAAATGATGAACATAACTAATATAAATGAGGCCTTGTTATTTGCCCAGCACTATACTAAACACTTTGTAGTGACATGTTTAAATCTCGAAACAATCCTGTGAAGTATGTATTTTCCTTGTCCTGGTTTTAAAGATGGAGAAACTGGAGCACAGGGAAGTTAAGTCAGTTGCCTGAAGCCTGATTCAGTGAGCCAGCTACTCCAGGGCTTCTCTGCTTCATAGATAAGGAGGTGACACAGGGCAGCATGGAGCACAAGCCTAGCACGAAGAATGCAGAAAGGCTAACTTTTATTGTCATCATTCATCTTCTTTATATTCTCAATAAAATTGTATAATTGTCTTCATTTAGGTCGTGCACATTTCTTGTTAAGGCTACTCATAAATATTTTATGCCCTTTTGTTCTGTTGTGAATGGGGTGTCTTTTTTTCCTATTATGTTTTCTCTTTGGTATTTTTGGGATGCAGTAAAAGCTTTTGACTTGAATACATTGTGTAGCTAAAAAGATCTTAGTGGCAGCCAGGCATGGTGGCTCATGCATGTAATCCTACCACTTTGGGAGGCCGAGGTGGGTGGATCACCTGAGGTCAGGAGTTCGAGACAAGCCTGGCCATCATGGTGAAACCCCATCTGTTTATAAAAAATAAAAAAATATTAAAAAGAAAAGAAAGACCTTAGTGGCACATCAGTACCATTTAAAATCCCCCACCAAACAGCAATTTTAATTATGTATGCTCTTTTTTCTTTGATTTTTATTGTTTCTTCAAATCCAAACCAATTGAAGGTACTGAAAATGTATGCTCTTTTAATATCAAATGAAATTAGTAGATAGATAATGAGGAAAAAGTGGAGGTTAGAAATAACATTTTAGATTTTTTCACCCTGGTCAAAGAGGAATAAAGAGAGGAAAGAGTAGAAAAAATGAATACACTCATCTGAGAGTAGTACCCCAAATGCCATAACATGTTACACCTCCCTCAGAAAAACTGCTCAATCTTGATTTTTCATGTGATTATCTTAAAATAATATTTACAGTTTAAATTAACTAAATACAAATTTTAAGATCTTCTCACCAATTGAATTATGAGATAAGCAAATATTTCTTCCCATTTAGATGTTCATGTTTTATTGCTCTTGTTAATCTAATCAAGAAAACAGAATTATTTCTTTTTTTTTCCCTGACAACTTCATCACATTCTTGGAGTAGGAACTATTTCTTTTGAAAACTTGATTTCTCTTAAATAGAAAGCCAAATTTTGTACTTATTGAGGGAAAAAAAACTCTGGCAATATATTCAAAGGTTTTGGCCTTTGTATAGTAAATATATTTGAAAGTGAATATGTCAACATTCTTGAGAACATTTTAGTGCCAGCCAAGATACGACTGTGTCAAAGTAACATAATGACTGCTCTGCTGTCAGTCGGGGAACAAATGGGAAAAGATGCTTCATTCAAAGTTTAAAAGTGGAGTAACTTGAGGAGAGTTAATCAAAGGACTGTTTATGAAAGGTGCAGAGGTGTAGAACTACAGGGGATGGGGCAGCACACTAGGGCCAGTGTCAAATCAAAGTGTTGCTGCATCAGACCAAAAGGCAGGAGTGGAGAAGTAGTGGAAGGTCTACAGACAAAGCCGTGGTGTGAAGATCCCAAAGGACAATCAGATCCAAATCCAACATGTGAAGCCTAATGTGCACTCAAAGGAGGCCCACGTACAGCACAAGAGAGGATGGGGTTTCCTTACAGTCACTCCATCCGTGGCCCTTAATATTTAATTTCACTATACACCAGAAAACAAGTTAATGTCTTATTTAAGACCTTGGGTTTGTGAACAATAAACACCTAAGTAAAACTGGTGTAAACAAAAAAAAGAAAATGTATTTGATCACCATTAGGAAATTCAAGAGTGCAGCTGGCTTCATACGTTACTGGATTTGGAGGCTCAAACAATTTTAAGTGGAGAATACTTATTTCCCGTTTTCTTTCTCATGATGAACAGAACCCTCGCACCTTCTCTCAGTGTGCTCATTTATTTCTCACCAAGGTAGGAAGAGTGATCTGGGTCTGCAGGTGTGTTGGGGTAGGAGACAAGCAGGGGCTGAGATCTAGCAGAAATTCAGCTCACCAAACTGAGCCATGGCTTGAGAGAGAGTTATCCAGCTGGGGGTTTGGGAAAGAAACTGGCACGGGTTAGCTCTTCTGGTGCCCTTCATTCTGTCTGATCAGTTTGTCTGTCTTATCGTCTGCCTTCCTTGTGCTAAGCAGTCCACAGTGGTCCAAAGATTCCAGCCATCTCAGTGGCCGGTTATAAATTAGATGAATTAAGGAGCAGGGTGTTAGAAAGTTCTTTCAGGCAGCAATCCAAAGCCTTGAGCTTGTCAGCTTCTCAGTCACGAAACAATTTCTTTTCCAGTTACCTAGCCTGCATTTATCTCTAAATTTGTTCTGAATTTAGGTAAAATACGGTATCATATTTGGACCCGTAAAAATCCCATCAATAGTATAATCAGAATACTTTTTTACTACTTGCACCTGTCAAATGTTTTCCTAAGCTTCATTTCCAAGCAGGTTCTCCTCATTTTAGGGTAAAGGTGGCAAAAGGAAGTTCTAGGTTTACACTGATCTTGAAGCTCACAATTTCTGTAAAAAGAGAGTGATGCATAATAACACTAGCAAATATCATGGGGAAATTTTTGAATTAGTCAGCTTGGGTGACATGTCTATCCTTGGACAAGCATGGAGTACATGATTGGCCATGTACAGATGACTGGGCTACTCTAGCTGCTGAAGAATGAGCCAGCGTCACCTGAGCCATATAGGATAAGAGTGAGAAAAGGGACTACACTATGTGCAGACTGAGCACACAGTAACTGGCATAGTCTCAGTAGATGGCTAAGGGAATTGAAATGCTTTAATTTTTTTTCTTTATATCAGTGGTTATCAACCTTGGCCACACACTGGAATCATGTGAGAACACACTACCCCAGACCAATTAAATCAGGAAAGCTCTTGGGGATCAGCAGTTTTACAGTCATAAGGTGTTGCTGATGTACATGCAAGGTCAGCAAACATTATCTTAAGTAGCACCACATTGATTAATCTGGAGCCAATTAAGGATGACATTGATCATGTTCTATCACTAGCTTTAAACCTGTTATTCAAAGAAGGAAGTCTGATGGTAGAGGAGAATTCTGGGAAGATGGAAGTAACAGTAATGTAGCTTTTGAATCTTTCTATATTTTACATAAAAACAAACAGAACAATGAAATAGCAAACCCAAATTCCCATGAACAACATATGCAAACAAACTAGCTATGTGGCAGCCTCCAAAATCACAAAATAAAAGCAGGTGGAAGCAAACTACAGACCGTGTCCATTAGGTGAATGAAGCAGAAAGTCACTAGGTGTCTGAAAGATGTGCGACAAAGCGGCCCACAAAAGAGTGGACCTGAGAACAGCAGCTCCCTTGCAGGATGGGGCCCACCCAGAGGAAAAACTGCAGAAAGTAGAATCAAATTGACCAGAGAGGGCTAATAAAAAACAAAGGAAAGAGGTCACACCAAAGTGTGGGAGGGAACAGAGTCATGAATTCACAAAATAGTCAACTCCCAAATATGGAATATCAAACACTAAACTTTTTAAAATGATTACCTCTGGCAGTAAAATTTCTAAAATTTTTCATTTTAAATTTATATACTTTTTTTTTTTTTTTTTTTTTGAGACAGAGTTTCGCTCTTGTTACCCAGGCTGGAGTGCAATGGCGCGATCTCGGCTCACTGCAACCTCCGCCTCCTGGGTTCAGGCAATTCTCCTGTCTCAGCCTCCTGAGTAGCTGGAATTACAGGCACACGCCACCATGCCCAGCTAATTTTTTTTGTACTTTTAGTAGAGACGGGGTTTCACCATGTTGACCAGGATGGTCTCAATCTGTTGACCTCGTGATCCACCCGCCTCTGCCTCCCGAAGTGCTGAGATTACAGGCTTGATTGTTATTTAATACTTTTTTTCCCAGGAAGCATGTATTGCTGTAACATTGTGCATGTATTTGTAACATCTATGATATTATGTACATATATACATATATACACACACACACACAAAATAGTAAGACACAGTATTTGAAAACATGAGTATGGGCCGGGCGTAGTGGTTTAT